ACATCAGTGGCCCGAGACTGTTCAACACGCTTCCACTACACATAAGGGACATAACTGGCCGACCTCTCACAGTGTTCAAGAGAGAACTATCAACATCAGAGGCCCGAGACTGTTCAACACGCTTCCACTACACATAAGGGACATAACTGGCCGACCCCTCACAGTGTTCAAGAGAGAACTATCAACATCAGATGCCCGGTACTGTTCAACACGCTTCCACTACACATAAGGGACATAACTGGCCGACCTCTCACAGTGTTCAAGAGAGAACTATCAACATCAGAGGCCCGAGACTGTTCAACACGCTTCCACTACACATATGGGACATAACTGGCCGACCCCTCACAGTGTTCAAGAGAGAACTATCAACATCAGAGGCCCGAGACTGTTCAACACGCTTCCACTACACATAAGGGACATAACTGGCCGACCCCTCACAGTGTTCAAGAGGGAACTTAATAAATACCCCCAAAGAATACCTGATCATCCAGGCTGATTCAAATGGCAGGCTGCGAGCAGCCGCATCCAACAGCCGGGTTGACCAGGAGGCCAGGAGAGTGACAAGGTGACTATTCTTCCCATTCATCATGGGTATGGAGTCATGGGTGTACTCATTCATCATCTCTGACCAACCAGCTTGTACACTTCAGCCCTGACAAAAGTTCAGTACTAAGGTAAACTGTGTGTGTGTGGGGGGGGGGGGGGGAAAGCCCTCGGTGTGTAAACCAGTCTTGTCCAATGGGTACTAGGGTACTGGGGTACTGGGTACTGGGGTACCGGGGTACTAGTGTCTGCCATTGTAGGCGAGTCTGTAATCACCGTAGCATCTAATAATTCTCTCAAAGTTATCTCGAGTTTTGCATTTCTTTATTAATTTGGAGTTCCAGGGCTCCGGGTATATTGTAAATGTATCGGTCAAAGTCTGCTGAGTTTTGTGTGAACATTAGCTAGCTATCGCTTCATGCAGGTCGGCGTTCAATCCCCAACCGTCCACAAGTGGTTATAGGCACCATTCCTTCCCCTCCCCGCGTCCCATCCCAAATCCTTATCCTGCACCCCCCCCCCCTTTCCTAGGGCTATAGTGTCGTAATGGCTTGGCGCTTTCTCCTGATAATTCCCTTCCCCTTCCTCTATTATGAATATAGTTCATAGAGAAGCTTTTATGATAATGCCTCCTGTCTATTGCGTTGTTAAATATTGCCCTATACTGCTCGGGTTTCGCAAATCTCTTTTTTATCATCCTCGGTCTATGCATACCTGGAGCATATCTGGAGCATACCTGGAGCATATCTGGAGCATACCTGGAGCATATCTGGAGCATACCTGGAGACGGTTTCGGGAGTTATTATACTCCCCGAGACCGGCCTGAGGCCAGCTTCAGCTGATGGTACAAGACATTTACCGGAGGAGGTTCCATTTTAATACTGCTTATGTGGGGAAAAAAAACGTCCCAGATTATTGCTTCATTGTGAAGATCAAATTGAAAGTATTTCTCGTTCCTAAATCATGTCGTTAGCGCCAACAGGACCAGGAGTTCCTCCAACGTTCACACAGCCATTTACGAAACCTGTACATCATGTTGTTTTTGTTTACATTTATTAATTTAAGGAGTTTACGTGCTTGGAAACTCTCAACCTAAGGTTAGGTTTGTTATAGACAACCTCGTAGTGCTTCGGACCTCATGAAACTGTTTAATCAAAGTCAACAAAGCCGCCATGATTGAGGCAAGATGTACAGGCTTCGCAAGCTGCTCCGTAAATGCTTGATGCATCGTGGTCATGATGTCTTACGAAGGTCTCTGACCTACACGTTATGATTTCTAGGTTTTTACTCCCGGAAAAATCAATCATTTCATCCGTCATTCCTTTTCTGAACTCATCCTCATCTCTTGTATGAACTCATCCTCATCTCTTGTATGAACTCGCCCGTCACACCGTTGTCTGAACTTGTTCTCAATGCAGGCGATGAGTCACAATAACGTGGCTAAAGTAAGTTGACCAGACCACACACTAGAAGGTGAAGGGACGACGACGTTTCGGTCCGTCCTGGACCATTCTCAATCGACTTGAGAATGGTCCATGAGGACGGACCGAAACGTTGTCGTCCCTTCACCTTCTAGTGTGTGGTCTGGTCAACTTGGCGTTCTCAAGTATTCGCGGAAGGTCATTTATCGATTACATGAACAGATAATATCAAATATCAAATGACATAGACAATCTGATTTAACCGGCAGAGGATTGTCTAGGTATGGTTGCCTCGGTCTTGTTCATGCAAGCTGTTTAGTGTGAGTCTGTGTGAACGGTGTGAACATTGGTGTGGGCTGCTTTGTGAGGCTGCCTCTATAATCGACAGGTTCTCTGATGTAGGCTCAGTTAAGTTTCATGGGTTGAAGAACACTTATAGACTTTAATACACTAGTTCGGAGTCAGTTGAATGTAGTGTGTGCGTGCGTCTATGCCAACGTGCGTGCGTCTATGCCAGCGTGCGTGCGTCTATGCCAGCGTGCGTGCGTCTATGCCAGCGTGCGTACGTCTATGCCAGCGTGCGTGCGTCTATGCCAGCGTGCGTGCGTCTATGTCAGCGTGCGTGCGTCTATGCCAGCGTGCGTGCGTCTATGTCAGCGTGCGTGCGTCTATGCCAGCGTGCGTGCGTCTATGTCAGCGTGCGTGCGTCTATGCCAGCGTGCGTGCGTCTATGCCAGCGTGCGTGCGTCTATGCCAGCGTGCGTGCGTCTATGCCAGCTTTCATTGCCTCAGAGCAGGGTGAGGCAACGAATGCCTTTGATTTTTACTAGTCTGACAAGCAAAATAGAAATATTCAGTAGGAACTAAGCTGGGTGTTGAGGCAGACTCTCCCTCAACACGTGAAAAATAACTGAGCTTTATCTCGCTCAAACACCGGCCCATCCATCGACCCAGTTTTTTCAATCTTGTAATGGAAGGGAGGAAGGAGGAAGGGCAGGGGTGGTGGGGTTGTGGGGAGGAAAGAGGAAGGGGGATCGGAGGAATGGGAAAGGATGGAAGGGGAATAGGTAAACCTGTGAAAGAAGGCAGGGGTTTTGGGGAAACTCTGTAGGGAAGGGAAGGGTGTTTGAGGGAGATTAGGAAGAGGGGAAAAGAGGCAAATATGATGGAAGGGTAATTCTGGAAAATGTTAAATTGAATGGAAAGGTGAGGGTGGATGCACACAAGGCCATCGAGGAAAGCCTATAGTATAGAGGCGACCTTTAATCTGTTTAATGGTTGGCCCACAACCATGTCAGGTCGAGGGGGGGGGGTAAAACCTCGATAATTTGCTCAATTATGGTCTGGTTCTTTGCATTATCTTTTGGAGGGTGGGGGGGGGTTTGTGTGCTACAAACAGCAGTTATAAATAACGTGTTGGCTGCACAGAGTAATGAGATTAGAATCTATTTTTTGTGTGGCTACAATCGCATATAAATATAACCCATCGTAATGATTCGCGACATTAATAACCATGTAAGCTTGTAACAAGGATGAAGTTGAACTAGCCCCAGGTATCCCCCATCTCTGTTAAGATTGTAATTATTACAATCTTTTATTTAATTTATTGCAATTTATTACAATCAATTTATTACAATTATAAAATATGTATCTATTCAGGTCTGATAGGAGAGAAATTACAGACTCCCAAAGGCTTGAAAGCATCAATATAAAAAGCTATGATTTGCTTATATCCGAAACCTATGTTTATAGCCAGCACAAAACGTGGACCAGACTGTGCGACACAGTGGTGGTCGCAAGGATCAGGTTGGGTTACCGTTACCTGTGGCAGGTGGATACAGGTGACGGATCTCCCAATCCTGAGCACTCCAGTTGCAAACTCTGTGAGCAGGAACTACGGCATGATCTCCCGCACTACATTATTCAATGTTCAGTCATTAGACCCTTCAGAGCAGCCGGTAAGAGGTACCTGGAGCTTTGAAATCACTTTATTACCTCTCGTGTTCTTGAGGATATCCTCATAATGCACCCTATAGTTTGCCAGAGCAGACTAATGAACACATGGCCCTGTATGACAGGACATTTCTCATCGCATAGCTCAGTCTTGACTCACGGGTGACCTTCCATATAGTCTAGCTGGAGCGGCATGAATGCACATGTACTTTAATATCTTAATAAAAATGAATGATAAGACATGGTTGAGGTGTAGCTCTGATCCATCGTTACGCCATAAGTTAAATAATAATAAAAATTATAATAATAATAATTAATAATAATAATAATGTTATTATTTTTAATTAATATCTCTACACTCGACCTTTCCTCATTCAGTTCTTCTATCCCACCTCTCCTTCCTCTCCTCCCTTCTTCTCTCTCTCTCTCTCTCTCTCTCTCTCTCTCTCTCTCTCTCTCTCTCTCTCTCTCTCTCTCTCTCTCTCTCTCTCTCTCTCTCTCTCTCTCTCTCTCTCTCTCTCTCTCTCTCTCTCCCCGTTCCCTCCTCCCCCCCCCCGACAGACAAGTGTTGTATTTGCACTACATTTAAAGCAAATACAGCAAATATAATTATCAAGTATAAATACACAACCCTGAGAGTTCTCAGATAAAAATTAAAATACAAATACAGATTTCACTGTATTTACAAGTATAAATACAGTAATTTTTTTTTGGCCTCGTTTGGTTGCAAGATTCGAGCCTCGATCGGTGAACGAGATGACTCGATTGGTGATTCGAGCCTCGATTGGTGAACGAGGTGACTCGATTGGTGATTCGAGCCTCGATTGGTGAACGACGTGACTCGATTGGTGAACGAGCGCAGCCCTTCGCTGGTGATTGGCGAACCAGTGTGTGTGTGTACTATTTGGATTTACTATTTGTGCCTGCAGGATCGAGCTGTCAGCTCTTGGGTCCCGCCTTTCTGACCGTCGTTGGTCTAATGTACTGACTCCCGACCTATTTTCCTCTTATCATGTCTACTGCGTGAATTTTTTCTCTCACGCGCGCGCGCACAAGGTTGTGGAAGCAAACTCTTCCACAAACAAGGTTGTGGAAGCAGCCGCAGCCGCCGCCGCAGCCCCAGCCGCCGCCGCAGCCCCAGCCGCCGCCGCAGCCCCAGCCGCCGCCGCAGCCCCAGCCGCCGCCGCAGCCCCAGCCGCCGCAGCAGCCCCAGCCGCCGCAGCAGCCGCAGCCACCGCCGCAGCCGCCACACTGTAAACACGCACACTTTAAATTGGGCCATTTTAGAGGGCCTTTTTTTCCCCAGGCTTTTTATTATACTTTTAATGGACGCAGTTGAGATGAGTGGTGCGCGTCTGTGTGCGCGTCTGTGCTTGTCTGTGCTGCAGCGGGAGAGGAGGTGGGGGGGGGGGGGTTGAGTAGGTAGGGGGGGAGGGGGGTGGAACAGCCAAGGCATGTGTACTCACCTAGTTGTGCTTGCAGGATGGAGAGTCTACTCCTAGCCCCGACTTTAAACCCAAGTTTTCCTCCTTTCTCTTCCACTGAAGACGAGGCCTCTTGTCTACACTGATAGCCAGCATGTATTCATTCATATATGTTCTGGAAAGGGTACTCGGCGGTGCCCGGGTCTCTGTCTCGACTCCTCTTCCTTCCTCTTCTTCTCCCCCTTTCCTCTTTCCCACATTTCACCAGGATCAATATTTTTATTAATATATGTTGGAACATGTGCATTTGTGCAGCTGCCCTGGACTATATGAAGGGGGGTACAGTGTGTGTCAAGAACTAGCTGCCCTAGACTATATGAAGGGGGGTACAGTGTGTGTCAAGAACTAGCTGCCCTAGACTATATGAAGGGAAGTACAGTGTGTGTCAAGAACTAGCTGCCCTGGACTATATGAAGGGGAGTACAGTGTGTGTCAAGAACTAGCTGCCCTAGACTATATGAAGGGAATTACAGTGTGTGTCAAGAACTAGCTGCCCTAGACTATATGAAGGGGAGTACAGTGTGTGTCAAGAACTAGCGACCCTAGACTATATGAAGGGGAGTACAGTGTGTGTCAAGAACTAGCTACCCTAGACTATATGAGGGGAGTACAGTGTGTGTCAAGAACTAGCTGCCCTAGACTATATGAAGGGGAGTACAGTGTGTGTCAAGAACTAGCTGCCCTAGACTATATGAAGTGGAGTACAGTGTGTGTCAAGAACTAGCTGCCCTAGACTATATGAAGGGGAGTACAGTGTGTGTCAAGAACTAGCTGCCCTAGACTATATGAAGGGGAGTACAGTGTGTGTCAAGAACTAGCTGCCCTGGACTATATGAAGGGAAGTACAGTGTGTGTCAAGAACTAGCTGCCCTGGACAATATGAAGGGGAGTACAGTGTGTGTCAAGAACTAGCTGCCCTAGACTATATGAAGGGGGTACAGTGTGTGTCAAGAACTAGCTGCCCTAGACTATATGAAGGGGGTACAGTATGTGTCAAGAACTAGGTACATGATGCTAAAAATCCCCACCATAAAGAAGGGTTTGTGATACAGGGCCATATGTAATCAGTAGTCTGCACTGGCAGACTCAGGGTTCATTATGACTCCAAGCAACAGCCTGGTGGACCAAACTCTCACAAGTCAAGCCTGGCCTCGGGCCGGGCTTGGGGAGTAGAAGAACTCCCAGAACCCTATCAACCAGGTATCAACCAGGATATCATCATCAACACGAGAGTTAATAAAGTGATTGCAAAGCTCCAGGTACCTCACGACTGGGAAAGGGGGGGAAGGGGGGTTGAAGAGTCTAATTACTAGGCATTCAGTAACGAGGTGTGTGTGAGATGGCGACCCAGTTCCTGCTCACAGAGTTTGCACCTGGAGTGCTCAGGATTCGGGAATTCGTCAGAGGCTTGGGGGAATAGGTGTGAGGCTAGAGGATGGGAGAAGGGTGAGGCTAGGGGCTAGGAGCCGAGGATAGAACCGTCGAGGCCACCGCCAGCTTGTGAAGGACCAAAGATTAATGAGCTGTTAATTAGGTCTGGGCAAGATTAGCTCAACAGCTGATTAGGGAAGGTTCCTAGGGAGATGGAACTATAATTATGAGAGGGGGAGAGAGGGGGGAAGAAGTGGGGGTGAAGGGGCAAGGTGATGACAGTCAGAGGAATGACTGAATAGAAGGGGCAAGGTTTAGAAGGTGAAGAGGGCTGGGTATGAAGAGTAAAGGGACACTTAAGGTGAAGGGGCAGGTGTCGAGAGTGGAGGAGTAGGGTTGTGGAGAACGAAGGGGGCGAGAGAATGAGGAAAACAACTTTGTGAAAAGGGGTGAGAGGGGTTGAGGAATGAAATAGGGGTGGGTGAGAGTTCCTGAAGGTAATATTTTACAAGAGTAAGGGCTAGGTACACGGCCAAGGTATTCAGAAAGAGAGAGAGAGAGAGAGAGAGAGAGAGAGAGAGAGAGAGAGAGAGAGAGAGAGAGAGAGAGAGAGAGAGAGAGAGAGAGAGAGAGAGAGAAAGAGCAGGTTGGCGTTGGAGGATTGTGAAATAAATATATCTTTACAGATAAAGAGTAAATCTCCGTCGCATCTACGCTAACATGATATAATTGCATTATACTCGGTTCATGGGGAAATATTAATTAATTGAAAATGTATTTTTAAAACGTTTTGGAAAGGTATTTGTGATTTGATCAAAGCTGCTTTAGAAGTGTGGCAGTTTGTTAATCAAATTAACTTTGCTACCTGACATTTTCTGTGGGAAATATTTTGATTGGTCTCTCTCACGGGTTAATGAGAGAGAGAGAGAGAGAGAGAGAGAGAGAGAGAGAGAGAGAGAGAGAGAGAGAGAGAGAGAGAGAGAGAGAGAGAGAGAGAGAGCGCGCGCGTGAATTTATGTGTATGATGCACGCACGCCTGCTTGGTTATACATTCCTGTATACATGCCTCCACAAGATAACTCGATATCTTCCCCCACTGTGCTAGTACACAAAATCTTTCTTTCCATTGTTACTTGGTGTCAGCGCAAAAGCTCGTGAATCCACACAATAAACATCCAAGTTATTGGGACCGACTAAGATGCTCAAGTCTGTATTCTGTAGAGCGCTGGCGGGAGAGATACATAATAATTTACACATGGAAGGTATTTAGAGGGCCTGGTTCCAAATCTACACACATAAATAGCGTGACATGTAATTGAAATTGAAACAAGTTTATTGAGGATTAAATACACATACAGGGATGGGGTAGCTCAAGCTATTCTCTGAGAGAGAGAGAGAGAGAGAGAGAGAACTATCAACATCAGAGGCCCGAGACTGTTCAACACGCTTCCACTACACATAAGAGGCATAACTGGCCGACCCCTCACAGTGTTCAAGAGAGAACTATCAACATCAGAGGCCCGAGACTGTTCAACACGCTTCCACTACACATAAGGGACATAACTGGCCGACCCCTCACAGTGTTCAAGAGAGAACTATCAACATCAGAGGCCCGAGACTGTTCAACACGCTTCCACTACACATAAGAGGCATAACTGGCCGACCCCTCACAGTGTTCAAGAGAGAACTATCAACATCAGAGGCCCGAGACTGTTCAACACGCTTCCACTACACATAAGGGACATAACTGGCCGACCCCTCACAGTGTTCAAGAGAGAACTATCAACATCAGAGGCCCGAGACTGTTCAACACGCTTCCACTACACATAAGAGGCATACTGGCCGACCCCTCACAGTGTTCAAGAGAGAACTATCAACATCAGAGGCCCGAGACTGTTCAACACGCTTCCACTACACATAAGGGACATAACTGGCCGACCTCTCGCGGTGTCCAAGAGAGAACTATCAACATCAGAGGCCCGAGACTGTTCAACACGCTTCCACTACACATAAGGGACATAACTGGCCGACCCCTCACAGTGTTCAAGAGAGAACTATCAACATTAGAGGTCCGAGACTGTTCAACACGCTTCCACTACACATAAGGGACATAACTGGCCGACCTCTCGCGGTGTTCAAGAGAGAACTATCAACATCAGAGGCCCGAGACTGTTCAACACGCTTCCACTACACATAAGGGACATAACTGGCCGACCCCTCACAGTGTTCAAGAGAGAACTATCAACATCAGAGACCCGAGACTGTTCAACACGCTTCCACTACACATAAGGGACATAACTGGCCGACCTCTCACAGTGTTCAAGAGAGAACTATCAACATCAGAGGTCCGAGACTGTTCAACACGCTTCCACTACACATAAGGGACATAACTGGCCGACCTCTCACAGTGTTCAAGAGAGAACTATCAACATCAGAGGCCCGAGACTGTTCAACACGCTTCCACTACACATAAGGGACATAACTGGCCGACCCCTCACAGTGTTCAAGAGAGAACTATCAACATCAGAGGTCCGAGACTGTTCAACACGCTTCCACTACACATAAGGGACATAACTGGCCGACCCCTCACAGTGTTCAAGAGAGAACTATCAACATCAGAGACCCGAGACTGTTCAACACGCTTCCACTACACATAAGGGACATAACTGGCCGACCTCTCACAGTGTTCAAGAGAGAACTATCAACATCAGAGGTCCGAGACTGTTCAACACGCTTCCACTACACATAAGGGACATAACTGGCCGACCTCTCACAGTGTTCAAGAGAGAACTATCAACATCAGAGGCCCGAGACTGTTCAACACGCTTCCACTACACATAAGGGACATAACTGGCCGACCCCTCACAGTGTTCAAGAGAGAACTATCAACATCAGAGGCCCGAGACTGTTCAACACGCTTCCACTACACATAAGGGACATAACTGGCCGACCCCTCACAGTGTTCAAGAGAGAACTATCAACATCAGAGGCCCGAGACTGTTCAACACGCTTCCACTACACATAAGGGACATAACTGGCCGACCCCTCACAGTTGTTCAAGAGAGAACTATCAACATCAGAGGCCCGAGACTGTTCAACACGCTTCCACTACACATAAGGGACATAACTGGCCGACCCCTCACAGTGTTCAAGAGAGAACTATCAACATCTCAGGCCCGAGACTGTTCAACACGCTTCCACTACACATAAGGGACATAACTGGCCGACCCCTCACAGTGTTCAAGAGAGAACTATCAACATCAGAGGTCCGAGACTGTTCAACACGCTTCCACTACACATAAGGGACATAACTGGCCGACCCCTCACAGTGTTCAAGAGAGAACTATCAACATCAGAGGCCCGAGACTGTTCAACACGCTTCCACTACACATAAGGGACATAACTGGCCGACCCCTCACAGTGTTCAAGAGAGAACTATCAACATCAGAGGCCCGAGACTGTTCAACACGCTTCCACTACACATAAGGGACATAACTGGCCGACCCCTCACAGTGTTCAAGAGAGAACTATCAACATCAGAGGCCCGAGACTGTTCAACACGCTTCCACTATACATAAGGGACATAACTGGCCGACCCCTCACAGTGTTCAAGAGAGAACTATCAACATCAGAGGCCCCGAGACTGTTCAACACGCTTCCACTATACATAAGGGGCATAACTGGCCGACCCCTCACAGTGTTCAAGAGAGAACTATCAACATCAGAGGCCCGAGACTGTTCAACACGCTTCCACTACGCATAAGGGACATAACTGGCAGACCCCTCACAGTGTTCAAGAGAGAACTATCAACATCAGAGGCCCGAGACTGTTCAACACGCTTCCACTACACATAAGGGACATAACTGGCCGACCCCTCACAGTGTTCAAGAGAGAACTATCAACATCAGAGGCCCGAGACTGTTCAACACGCTTCCACTACACATAAGGGACATAACTGGCCGACCCCTCACAGTGTTCAAGAGAAAACTTGATAAACACTTCCAAAGCATACCTGATCAACGATTCATACGTCAGACTGCGATCAACCGCGTCCAACAGCCTGGTTGACCAGACTATCAACCAGGAGGCCTGGTCAGAGAGCGGGCCGCGGGTACGATAATCCCCGAAATCAACGCAAGGAAAGGTAAGGTCCAGCGGTCAACACATCTCGTGACCTTAATTGGTCCAGCGGTCATTACACAGGCTAGTGATCAGCTCGTCTAGCGGTCAACATAATAACACATAAACTGTGGTTAGAGGCGAGTACCATCTGTCTGATCCTGTAGCCCACTATGCTAATGTTGACCTTTGACCCCGGGTCAGGAGAGTGAAGGGTGGAATTGCAGGCTAAGAGCGAGGGAATATCGGCCGTAAATCATGGCTTGCGTCGGGAATTGTGGCACCAGCCATTATGTTAACAATGGCAGCCGGCGTCTGCTGGCTGGGGGAGTGGGGAGGTAGGATGGGGTGTAGGGGGGAGTAGCCAGGGTGGACAGGAGAATGAGGAAACCTTGAAGTAACAATCAACACTGTAACCTAACAAGGCAGTTAACACTCACTAACAGTGTCGTCTTAGATGAGGAAAGCCACACCTAACTGCTCTTCCTAGTTCTTCTCTATGTTAAGGTCACCGCCACGACTCCTCAAGCACTAAAGTGGTCCTCTGACGAAACCTGTACATCTTCCCCTCAGTCATGGCAGCTTAGATTGCATTTATTAAACAGTTTATTAACTCCAAAGCGTTGCGAGGTTATTTATAATCAAATCACCTTGTTTCCAGATTTTTTTTAATACAGACTAAGCCGCCGTAATTGAGGAAAGATGTACAGGTTTCGCAAGTAGACACAAATACCTGATAAATCCTGGTCCAGGAAGGTGTTCAACGCAACTAGTAACAAGAATAATATTATGTAAATATAACAATTACAAATAATAATAATAATATTAATATAAAATAATAAAGATAATCGTATATTGACAAATCAAAGCAAGTTAGAAAAATGGTTTACATATGAACGTAACATATGTAGCTTTGTGCACATGCAAACAGATGCAGTTATGTTATTCATGCAGTACATACACACACACACACACATATATATATATATATATATATATATATATATATATATATATATATATATATATATATATATATATATATATATATATATATATATATATATATATATATAATGCATCTATTGAATGTGTCTACATCCTACTAACAAGGTTACTTACCACATGTCGAGGTAAAAAGTATTATGTGTGTGTGTGTGTGTGTGTGAGAGTTGACCCGGTTGTCAACCTCCTCTTCTCCACCATAGATCCCTTGTATTGACAATAATTCTCACAGTGGCCCAGTATTTTGAAAAGTCTGTCTACTCAAGAAGTCGATTTTATTAACCAACAACAAACTCGTTTTCCTCGTTTCATCTCCCAATTAAAAGATATATCTAACTGTTTATGCAATTAAGCAAATGCCAGTATTAAAAGCTCACTTGTTTAATGAGATTTGATCCTGTCCTGTTGACACTGTGTTTTGAATTTCAGGTTCAGTGTCAGGACAGTTTTACAGTCATCGTGTTTCTGTATTTTGGTTTCATATGAAACAGCTGGGAGAGTCAGCCTCTCATTCATAGTGGCACTGGCACTGGCACTAACTATCTCGGTGCTTTGGATGACAGTTTTGAGTGAACTCATTTTTTCACATGCAGCTAAAAATGTAACAAGTGTCAATGAATGGCACTTGACCTTTGTGAGGTGTCAATGAATGGCACTTGACCTTTGTGAGGTGTCAATGAATGGCACTTGACCTTTGTGAGGTGTCAATGAATGGCACTTGACCTCTATGAAGTGTCAATGAATGACACTTGACCTGTGAGGTGTCAATGAATGACACTTGACCTCTGTGAGGTGTCAATGAATGACACTTGACCTTTGTGAAGTGTCAATGAATGACACTTACCTGTGAGGTGTCAATGAATGACACTTGACCTTTGTGAAGTGTCAATGAATGACACTTGACCTCTGTGAGGTGTCAATGAATGACACTTAACCTCTGTGAGGTGTCAGTGAATGACACTTGACCTCTGTGAGGTGTCACTGAATAACACTGGACCCCTGTGAAGTGTCAATGAATGACACTTGACCTGTGAGGTGTCAATGAATGACACTTTACCTCTGTGAGGTGTCAATGAATGACACTTGACCTGTGAGGTGTCAATGAATGACACTTGACCTTTGTGAAGTGTCAATGAATGACACTGGACCTCTGTGAGGTGTCAATGAATGACACTGGACCTCTGAGAGGTGTCACTCAAAAGTTCAATAAGACTTCTTAATTTGCAGTCGATTAGATATCTACCTGAAATAGATACCCAATCGACCCACCTGTCACTGGCACCAGGAAGAAATAAAATGATTACCAGAACTGTTCTTCAAACCTTGCAAGAGCTGAATGAGGTTCTTATTTCTTCAGAGAGGTCATCGTCGGGTGTTGCACAAAGGTCTCAAGCGTGCCGGAAAGGATTTAAACACTGCAACTTTGTTAGACGTCCACACCGCAAGACCTCATAACAATTCGCTTCATGCAGGTCGGCGTTCAATCCCCGACCGTCCAAGTGGTTGGTCACCATTCCTTTCCCCCTCGTCCCATCCCAAATCCTTATCCTGACCCCCTTCCAAGTGCTATATAGTCGTAATGGCTTGGTGCTTTCTCCTTTCTTCTCACTTTAAAATGATCTACCGTGTAGGCTCAGATTTAGATAATTTAAAATGTGAAATGTCAGATATATGTCACCATAGCTCTCTCTCTCTCTCTCTCTCTCTCTCTCTCTCTCTCTCTCTCTCTCTCTCTCTCTCTCTCTCTCTCTCTCTCTCTCTCTCTCTCTCTCTCTCTCTCTCTCTCTCTCTCTCTTATCACCGCCGCCCATATTCGCACGCCATTTCTTCGGGACATTTAATCTTCGTGTTTTACGAGGGATTTGCGGGTTTATGCATTCGCGAATTTCATGCAAATTTTGGTGGTTTTGATTTAGGGTAAAGAGATGACGGCGGCGCGTCCAGAGGGGTGCGTGTTTGGGGGGACTACAGTGCTATAACTCATATGCTCTAAGTGCTATTTACGTGGCTCTCCGTCTCGGTGGTTTGAGCCATATTGGGATGTGGGGGAGATGCCACTCTCCTCGTGGCTCGTCAGTTAATGATATTGCATGTGTTCTTACCTATTTGTACTTGCCCCTTTGTGCCTGTTGGATCGTCTTACACTTACTGGTATTCAATTCTATTAACCACTTCTCGGACCAAATCTGCGGTACATTTTTTTTTATTTTTTTTTTTGTAGTATTTTCCAGTCGTGATTTAAAATCTGTTAATTGCTAAGTTTGCATGAAAATTTAAACCTCTGTTGCTTTATCAGATTGAATGTTTTTTTGAGACCTTTTATTTTGTAAAAGGTCTGTAAAAGGTCTTTGTAGGCATGTTTAACTGCACTTTGTGATGTATTAGTATTTGGGTATGTGTGTTTATGTGTGTTTATGTGTGTGTGTGTGTGTGTGTGTGTGTGTGTGTGTGTGTGAGAGAGAGAGAGAGAGAGAGAGAGAGAGAGAGAGAGAGAGAGAGAGAGAGAGAGAGAGAGAGAGAGAGAGAGAGAGAGAGAGGAGTTGATGTTATTTACGTGGCACAGTGTAAATTAGATTCTTTACTCAGAATGATGAATGATCAGCCATAAATTAGCTTTGTGAAGAGAGCCAGTTGCACACTCAATATTTCAACCCCAAGGAGCAACGCAGTCAGCCTCCGCCTCAAGGTGGGCGATGGGTTGAACACGAGGAATTGGAGGACTCGCTGGGAAATGGGTGGAGGGTCGAGGGTGTTTACTGTGACCCAACAGTTGATGATCCAGACTTGTCGAGAGAGGGAGCGAGGGGGGGGGGGGGTCTCTCTCTCTCTCTCTCTCTCTCTCTCTCTCTCTCTCTCTCTCTCTCTCTCTCTCTCTCTCTCTCTCTCTCTCTCTCTCTCTCTCTCTCTCTCTCTCTCTCTCTCTCCCAGGGTGTTCATATCTTGATTTTTATATCTCCTTACTGCTGTCAGTTGCTGCTGTTGAAGCTGCTATTGTTGCTTCTGTTTCTGCTGCTGTTGCTGCTCAGATTTAGCAGCAACAGTTCAACAACAGATTTGCTGCTCAGTTCCTGTTGCTACTGCTGATCCCGTTGCTGATGCTGTTGCTCCCATATTGCTACTGGTGTTCCTGTTGCTGCTGCCGTTCATGTTGCTGTTGCTGCTGTTATTGCTGATCCTTTTCATGTTACCGATAACAATACAGATGCTATTGATAATCATTAATGACACGTATGATGATTACTGGCTAATAATCAATATTAGTATTACTACTAGAACAATTACTTCTATAACTACTACAAAATCTGCTATGACTCCAACATCCTCTACTACAACTACAACAACAACTACAGCAACTACAACTATACAATAATGACAATTGCAACGATCATCAATCAACTTACAAACACCTAATCAGTTATTGCAGATGGTGAGGGAGCAAGTGATTAATGTCTCGGGTGTTTGTTGCACCTCGTTGAGGGCAACATTGCAATGGTATATCTATCAGAACTTGTTCAGTGTCGAACAACTCCACATTGGGCTGTGACGAGGGTTCGAACCTTGTAGATTTGTTCATTTGATGCATCACCCTATTGTGATTTCTGTGTGTATTGTTCAGTGTAGTTATCAGGTGGAATGCATTAGGCAGTGATGTGGTGGAGGCTGACGCCATACACAGTGTCAAACGTGGATATGATAGAGCCCAGTAGGCTCAGGAATCTGTACACCAGTTGATTGACGGTTGAGAGGCGGGACCAAAGAGCTGAAGCTCAATTCCGGCAAGCACAACTAGGTGAGTAATGAGTAGGGATGGACCATCCGTATCTATAGGAGAGAGAGAGTTTGAGAGAGGTTGGGTCGAGTCACTTGGGCTAGCCTCACCAAACTTTGCAGGGGTGACCTGTGGTTGGCGACGGTCATAGGGTGGTGGCGGTCGGCCCTCGTGTCCTCTTTTAAGTAGGTTTGACTTCTATTTCGACAACCAACGAGTCCTATAGAGTCTGAATTGTGGGTTTGATTGTCCATCGAGCGTGTTCCAACATTTGTCGGCCGTTATCGCCGTTGCTTCAACAGTGATAATATCTATTTAACATTACTCGAGCATGTTCTGCTCGCTGAGGGAGAGAACGGGAGAGAGAGAGAGAGAATGGGAGGGTGGGAGGAAGGAATGGGAGGGAAGGGAAGGAAACTATCAGGAGGATGCACCAATCCATTACGACTATATAGCACTGGGACGGAAGCAGGATAAGGATTTGGAATAGAACGGGGGGGGGGGGCGGGGGAAGAAATGGTGCCCAACCACTTGGACATTCGGGGAGTGAACGCCGACCTGCATGGAGCAACGCCATCGCTGTACCATCCAGCCCAAATGGTTGATCAGGGAAGGGAGAATGGGAGAGACAAACGGGGAGAGAGAGACCCGGGCACCGCCGGATAACCACCACCCCTCCCATACCCTCTAGTTACCCAAACATCAACATTACCTTCTGGCATGTTGTATAATCCGGCCTTGTGGAGAGGATCAGCATGCCACCATGCTCACTATCGCCGTCTGTGGCGCCATATTTAATACGTTTTCTTTTACGTCGCCTCGACGTCGCCTGTTGACGAGGCGTGGACGTGGAACACCAATACTTGATACCAGCTTTATAGACTAATGTGCAACTGTGACATTATATTGTACAATCCCCTCCCTTCCCTAATGCAGCATTGCTACACTGTAAATCTCACCCAAAGTTGCATTTTATTTTCTGGCAGGGTCTTTTTTTTTTTGGATGTTGTTGCAAAATGTGTTGTATTTCGCCGTAGTATTTTCGGAATGATTATAGCTGGGGCTTGGATCTGAATGGCCCTGCGTCGTTTGCACATGCGAAACTAACGTAATAATGATTTGGCAATTCTGTGGTGCAATTCCGGATTTGAGGTGAATATTGGGATAATGCGATTGAAAACGCGGTTTATAAAGCCTAGTTGCCAATACCACGGGCTGGGGGGAGGGGGGGGGATCTGTATATTATAGAGCAGGATTATTTTTTTTATCTTTTTTTCTGGGTGGTAATGAGGGTAGCACATATTTAGTGGATATGTATATAGAACTGGCAGAGTTTGCACGTGTAGCTTATGTATGTGTATATATATATATATATATATATATATATATATATATATATATATATATATATATATATATATATATATATATATATATATATATATATATATATATATATATATAATATGTATGCAACAATGATCACAAAAACACTGATCCAAGTATGCAGAATAACCACATGTGAAAAATATATTTTATTTTTTTTTATTTATTTTAGAAAAATTTATTTTATTTATTTAAAAAAAATTATTTTAGAAAATTTATTTTTCACATGTGGTTATTCTGCATATATATATATATATATATATATATATATATATATATATATATATATATATATATATATATATATATTGTTATTATACATTCAATATATACAAGGTTACACAGTTACATAACTGATTGGATAGAAAATATGAACGTTAAGAAGAAATAATTGGAAGTTTTTTTTCCTAGAGACTGTATATGT